CCCCAAAACCCCAAAACCCCATCTTGATAATGTTAAACTCTAGGGGTAGCAATGTTAAATAATAAGCGTTAAAAGATAATTGCCCAACTGAATTAATTAATAAGATCAAAATAGAATCAATAAGTAGTTAATTCAGAGTATTTAAACTATTGCAGATTAGCTTATAATAAATTCATCAGTTTTAGTTACACAAACTTGCAGTAAAACAATGACTTACTTTCAAAGCAAACTTTAAATGGCCTTGACCATCAATCTGATCTCAATAATCCTCTTTTCAAATGAGTCTTCGTAGTATCCTTAAAAGTAAAATGGGATGAGGGATGAGATGATAGCTCAAGTTGGATTTAACATAAATTCTGACTCTTCACCTTTGTAATATATCTAAAATCTAGAAGAATAAAAAGGTGGAAGATCAGACATAGCATTAGATCCATTCTTTAAAGTAAGCAAATATTCTCTTAATCATTTTAGAACTTGCAGAGTTCACATAATGTAGAAGCAACAAGCATTTGGAGCTAGGCACCATTTACTTCAACCTTATATTATTAGTATGCTGCAGCAGTTCAAACTGGTCTGTCGCTAAAATACACTTCCTCTGCAGTTTGTTTCTAAAGTGCTTATAGCTTGCTAAACGATGCTTTTTATCTTCATCAGAACATTACAGGCTATAATAATAATGCTGGTACTAGAATAACCAATGGTAATAGGCAATATTCAATGATAGCTTTCAATGTTTCCAATATTATTGCAAAAAACTTTGCTAACACTTATTCTAATTGCTATACCACTTTATCAAGTGCATAGTCTCAGACTGACGTTTGGCTGGATCAATTTGTTGATTTCACAGATGTTTACACATCTTTCTTGTTTAACTTACTCTCAAAATCATTGAAAATTAGATCACTTTCCATAAACATCTAAACTTCTTAAACAAATAAGGACTGGGTCACTTTCTCAAAATCACTTGCTTAACTAACTAATGTTATCTTTGATTTCCAATCTTCATATGCGGAAAGTTTAGATGGAATAAGTTTCGATGATGTTTTAAGAACACTCAAATTTACTAACAACAAAGTAGACTTTCATATTGACTTAGAAAATGAGGCTTAGGTCTAGTCAATCAAAAAATTAATATCCTACTCTGCTTAATTCTTGGGAGATGTCATACCAGGATTCAGAAAACCATTTAAAGAAGATTAGATTGGAGTTGAGGAGGTTACTCTCCAAGAATATCAAAATTCAACTCGAGGGAAGAAGTTACTATCATAAAAAATGAGGTTCGATATTAATATGTTCAGAGATACATATGAAACAGTCAAATAAGGAAGAAATATTGTCAAAGTTGATTAGTCTTTTAAATTTAGAGACGTTTCATATATATTTTTCGGAATAATTGAAGGTGCCACTAGTGCAGTACCAGCATCATTATTTAACTTTTAGTGTGGTAAAAACGTCACATAATCTAGACTATATTTTGAGGCTTCAGTCCTTGATTTCTCTTAAGGTAAAAGAGATAGTGGAGTAGCAAACATTAACAAGATCTTAAAGAATGCTGATGATATCACTATAAACTGTGTATTAGGTTTTTAGGCTACTGCTAATACCAATATCGCTAGTATTTTTACATCTGATCAAATCCTAATGAACCTTTTGTATAATGCTGGTTTTATGTTTACTGATGTGTTGGATATTTTGAAATACGATACATCAGACACTAATCCATATTGGTATTATATTTTCTACAGAGTTGGAGATTTCTTAATAAGATTCATCTATAGAGATGCCTGATGAGTTAAAATTGAAAGATAAATATAAGAACTTGCTAAACATATTTTTACTCTATAAATTTAATTTGATTTTTTCATCTTATTTCAACGACTTTATTTTGTTTTTAGGGGTTTTGGGGTTTTGGGGTTTTGGGG